TTTATACCTGTTTAGGCTAACCCTGGAAAATGTAGGTTCTTACGCGTGGGTTTTTACTGTACTTACACAATGTAATCCAATCATAACTCTTGTGTTACATTAATAATAGTAATAAAATAAACTATATTAATAGTTATGTAACAATATCAATCACTACTGAATGAGATCAACATAAGTTGGTGGTGTATTATTGTCATTAATCATGTCTTCTTCAGAGCCCCTTCTTTCTAATTGATGATGCACCTGTGGACTACTTGACTGTTTCCCAGTTCTTGATTCTACTCCAGCGTGACCTGTACCCACTTCATTAATAGCTCCATCACTCCGTACTTTCCACAGCATCCTCATTTGTTGAAAGAATGAAGGATCAGTTATGGGTTCAGCATATCCTTCACTGTCAGACTCTGAGCCGCTTTCGATGTTTGTTCTTGCATACCAGATCTTTCCTGGTTGTTGCTTGGAGTTGATCTGAGCTGGTGCCAAAAGTACGTATTATTACACCAAAGTTATTTGAGTGTCAATGTGTTTAGCAGGAAAGTGCTATATTAAAACCATATTTTTAAGAAATAATAAAATAAGTAGCCAACAGTTACCAGCGCTGTACAAACGACTTATTGACAAGATCAAGCAAAACTAACTACAAGAGGACGACTGGGGAACTGACAATTTGACTAACAATAGACCACTGTTTAACTATGACAATAGACGGATCGAAACGCACCAATTACTGATTATGCGTCTTCATAGCCAATAACATCACGGCTTAATAGACTTACGACCAATAACATCGCGACATAATTAACCAATCAGATCAATAACCAGAGTATAATACCATCACCTGACGTGATACAACTCACTTTGACTCTGAAGATGACTACCGCACAGTGACAGGTTGTTGAAACATCAGTCACTGTCAACAACAACAGTCCTATTCAGGACTACGTTCACCCAGATGATCAAACTCAACCTACTTTTGAAATGACTCCTGGGTTCAAACCTTTCACAATAAAATACGTTGAGGACACTATTTCTACATCCCTTCAGCAGACAGGTCCCCGTTTTATGTGGTCATCTGAGCCCCACAAAGGTCAAGCCACTCATTTGCAGAGCAAACAAGAGCAAATAGTAAAAAAATGTTTTTTTAAAAAAATTAATTTATTCCAAAACTTTAATCTTAAGCAGTAATTATACTGCATCTTTTTACGCTCAACTATGAAGTAGAAACAGAGTGGACATAACACCAACTTTTGTTTTATTCCCTCAAGGCTCTTAGGCAAGTGCTTTATAATTATAAAGATGTAACCTAAACATAAATTGTTGGTATCTTTAAAAAACTACAACTTACTTTTTTGTGCTGGTCTGAAAATAACTTGTCTTGCTGCAAATTAGTTTAGAAAAAAAAAAGGTAAGTCAGAGATGGCAGCTTTGGAGCATCAGTACTACACAGAAAGCCAGTCACCATTAATAATGAATATGGCAAGGACAAAGATAAGCATGCAAATGCCTTGGGCAAGCA